ACAAGAAACTGCAGATTTAAAACCTGACATAAATGTACCACACTTTTGTCAATTTCACATCAATGTTTTATTAAAAAAGGGAATCATTCAGTTGTGCATTGTGCAAACCACACAGTACTGTAAATAGCCATAAGTATATAGTTGTATATAACAAACAGCATGCAGTTCGTAATTTATCTTGCAGTTGTGGCAAGAGGCCATGGGGCCTTGGTAACATAACATGCTTAACTCCAAACAAATAATATGGTGCAACAATTCAAACTAAAATACTAATTTTAAAATCAATGCTTGCTTGTAGAGGAAAAACAGTTTAAGAGGTTACAGAGTTTCTGCAGAGGTGTTTTCTCCTCCTTCTCAAACATATGCTACCCAGTTCCTGGGAGAACATCCGTATTGACGGAGATGGCAGGTGTTTGTGGTCTGATTGACAGTTTTTGCGTATCACTGCTAACGCTGATGCGCAACATCAACATCTGCACCGAAGAAGATCGCAGGAAATCTCCTTAGTGTGCATTTGAAATGGATTGGGTGTAATTATGATGAAATCTTGTATCTGATTTGCTCATATTGATTTTTCCTTACTGTGGAGGAGAGCATGGTTTGGGTGAAAAAAAATAAAAAATAAATAAATAAAGGTGAATCGGGAAGCAGTGAAGCATGACAAATTTGGGCAAACAAAGTGCGCGAGATGGGAGTGCCAAGTGGAGTTTTTACAGCTGAGTATGATGGAGGCCTCACAGTAGAATTGAAACATCTGACCTTGAAATTTGAGCTGCTCAGGCACGACAGACAGAGTCAAATCTCTGTTTTCAGTAGCCCTTTCCCAAGGTAACAATCATAGAAACTTACTCAAACATTCAGCTGCAACATACTTTGTTCAGTAAAAATGTCATGGAAAAACAAACAATGACTAAATAAATATAATATTAGGTTAGCTTATTCTAATCTAAAGACAAGAACGGAAACCTTAACTAAACCTTTAGTACTACCGCTGTATGTACTGTAATCTAACAAGTAGTATTATGACCTAACTGTAAATAAAGCACATATTTGCACATTCTTTTCTTTCTAGTATACTTTACACATATACTGGACATAAATCTGGTCCAGTTTGCACCTTATTTCTGGCCAAAAACTGTCCACCTAGACAATGTCTGACTATTATGAACTGATATATTCTGAGTTTATTTGTGGGGTTTGTGTGTGTGTGTACATGATGTCACATAAGACATTAGCAGACACGTGTAGACTTTGTCATCTCTTTAATCATTTCTCAAAGTGCTAAATGCTAATTATTTTCACATACGTACTTCAGCACCAAATCAGAATATGTAACATTTTTTTTGTGAATATAAAATATAAAATTATTTATTATTCTGTTATTTCTGTATATTTTATATTGTTAAAAAAACATGTGTTCAATGTTTCTGCTTAAATGAATATGTGACACTAACTAACAGCATGTTTCATATAATATCAGAACATTTCTTCCAAATGGACACTTCTGATAAAAGATCACTCTTAAATGTAATGTGGAAACATTCATTTTCTGTAAAGCTTCTTTAATATATAATGGAAAGAGTTCTACACAAAATGGGCATGGAACTGAATAGAGAACTAAGCACTTATAATATATACAACTCAGACAACAGGATAAATAAGGATAAATAAAAAGCAATATTGCCAGGAGCGTTTAGCCTTTCATCATGGGCCACCCGCCATCAAAATGTGTCCACATATGCAATAAAGAGCTGCTTCATGGCTGACACGTGATGGAAGATCTTTGGTTTGAGTTTGGTTTCATATAATGGATTGGTAAATTTCAGCTCAAACTCGTTTGACCTATTATATCAGTAGCAATTTATTCGAGAATCACTAAAAATCACCTAAAAAGATAATAGAAAACACACAGCACAATCGCTGAAATATTATGAGGCAAATATTATCAGGTCGATATAAGCTAATCCACCATCAGACAAGGATTTATCAGTAAAATTTCACTGCTGCAGTAAAATGGTCTAGCTAGAGAAATATATATTATATAAGGAATAATCAGCCTGGGGGAAAAAAATGCTGTCATTTACTGACCCTCATGTCTTGTCTCCAAACCTGTATGACATTTCCATCTGTTGTAACTATAACTTCTAAAAAAAATAATAATATAAAAAAAAAGAACACATAAAAATACCATAAATATAGTGAATACAATGTGTGTGCTCTTACAAGTCTTCTGAATTCATTTGATTGTTTTGTGTGATGAACAGAGAGTAATTTAAAGGCACAATATGTAAGATTTTCATAATAAAATATCCTAAATCCACTTGCACAGTGTGATATATTTCATGCAGATATGTACTTATCCCAAAAGTTCCCAAGGAATTGTAAATCCAGAGAAAATCCAATTTTAAATAATTGCTCGTCCGGTCATTGTTGCCTATCAATGACATAATATCTGCACTATCCTAGGTTCTGGCTTGTAGAAACTGTACAAAAATGCTGCTGTGCAGTTAAACTAAATCCATTACGGCTGTCGTGAATAAACTGAAAATTAAATGAGAAGTGTTGACTGTAGCATCAAATTTTGATCTGCTCAACGTTTCACCATGATTCTTTTTACACACATTTTTACAGTGTTGTACATTCTAACCAATCACACACGAGTCTGTTGAGCTTATGAATGCAATGGCCAATCAGAGGTGTTCAGATGAGTCATCGCTGAAACGCCGGTGTTTTGCTCAGTGTTTGCTCACTGACTGAATTCTGCTCTCTGGCGAATTCTCTCATCATAAACAACAAAGTGCAGTATCAGATGTGCATACGATGTAAGTATGAGACAGCTTTACTGATTATAAGGACAGTTTTTTGAGAGTGTTTAAACTCGCACTAGACTTAAGTCAATCATAATGTTCTAGAACAATGTAAATGTTCTTTGCTCGCTTTCTCTGTATAATTTATTCACTGTTTGAATAACTGTGGACAGTACAGGTAATAAAAAAAAAAAAATAATAATAATAATAATAATTACCTCATCCCCATCCGTGAACATGATTAGTGACTTCCATACAACTCTAGATGGTGAAAATGACATCTCCCATCGTTCCACTCTCCTTCATAGCGTCATCAAGCTTCTCCTTTGTTGTTGTTTTTAAAATGTGGCCTCTAGTGGCAAAAACTTACATATTGTGCCTTTAACTCGCATTCACTCAAAATCGTGTCCATGTGCAATATCGTTTGTTTGTTTACGTAAGTGCACCTCAACCCTGGGTAAAGTAACGCCTCAAGCTATAAGCGATACTTTACAATTCGATAAGATATGGAAACTTTTTTGTTACAATTTTAATGATAGCAATACTGATACCATTACTGTTTTTTTTTTCTTAAATGTGATTTTCCAACGTGATCTAATGATAACTCGTAAGTATTTTACATAAAATGTAGTTCTATAAAACATATATTTACTGACGTTTTTACAGGCTCTAAAACGTACAATACTGACGTATTTTCAGCATCTAAATGTACAAATACTTGCGCATTTTCAGCATTTAAACATACAAAACTGAGGTATTGGCAACACCTAAAAATGAATCCTTATGAATATTGAAATTGCGGCATTAATTTTATTAGTATTGTTGTTTTTAGTTGTCATATCAATGACCTTGTTTTCAATTGCATTATTAAATTGTTTACTCGTTTACTTAATATGAAATGATAACATTTAATTCTGTTCGGTGTGATTTCTGCTGCCAGCTCGTTTCTAAAAATAGGCCTACATAATGTTAAACAAGACCTCACTTTAAACCCTTAAAATAAATAGCATATCTGCAATCGTTTAACCTTTACTTGTCATGTAATGTTTACTTTGTTTGCCATGGGCCACAAAATGCGTTTTCTCCGACATGCTGTGACTGACAATTGAACTATAAAATACACCAAAAACGCAACATAGTTATGAAATTAAACAATTTTATTTGTGCACTGTAATCCAAGTCTTCCGAATCCATACGACTGCGAGGAACAGACCCAAATCCAAGCTAAACAAAATTCAAGTTTGTGAATTAATTGTTCTTTTTTAATGAATCTTTTAGGTGAACGAATCGTTCTTGTTCACGTAATCCATTGACTCATATTTCTCATTCACTGAAATTCCACCCTGCAGAGCAGCGCGGTTAGCAGCGCATGCGCAGCTCAGTGAACGAGAAGGATGTTCCTGAACAACCGGAGGCTGCAGTTTCAGGACCGCAGTTCTAGGACCGTAGTTCTAGGACCCTATTATTTTGTAACAGCGCCACCTACCGAATTGGATAATATAGCGGAGGCTGCAGTTTCAGGACCGCATTTCTAGGACCCTGGTGGTTTAGTTTTTATAATGTTTGTACATGTTGTTAAAGATATTGAATCTCAGGAACAATTTATTTATTTTTTTTTCAATTGTGATTTTTGATTTATAAATGCATCAGATGTTAATTACAAAGTGTGTAAGCAGGTCTTTGAGTTAACAATTTTAAATTTAAATGAATTCACACTTAAAATAAAAATTTATCTCAGTCTTTAAACAACTGAAAAAGTGGAGTACCTTAAAGGCAGGGTATGTGATTTTTCAAAAACACTTTAGAAAACTGATTCGGGCCGAATAGCAAAACAAACTTGTAGCCAATCGAGAATTAAATAAGAAACATTTGCTTTAACATGTTTAACTCTGTAAAATATATTTCTGATTTAACACTTACACCTATAATACATTATAACTATGAGAAATATAATCCATTGTAACTTAAGTGGATGCAATGTGTTCATTGTGAGTTATAAATCATCATACACTTAACCACAAATAAGTGTTATAATACATTAAAACTGTTCTTACGATTATTTATAAGATGATGCAACATATTATAAGGTTTCTTATAATGCATTATTAATTCCTTATAATGCTTTAAGAATAACCTTATAATGTATTATAAATATAGGCTTCATAGAAAGTTTTACCGTCAATTTCTATTAAAATCTTCCACTTCACTGAAATAGTTATCAGAGAACAATCACTGTTGGGTTAACAGAAATATCAGTAACAAAAGGTGCACTGGGCATTGTGCAAAAATAATTCATATTCTACTCTGACCTGTAATGATAATCCGGACCAGAAAAGAAGACCTGCTCAGCCTCCTGCAATGAGAAATTCCGTAGGACAGCCAGGGCATATATGATGGCCTATGAAAAAACAGTTAATTTAAGTATACTATTATAGCACTACTGAACAGCAAGCCATTATACATTGGTCCATACACGAGTAGCACCAGCATGCAGTTTATACAGTAGATTGTGTAAGTGCAGGAGCAGGACACTCACAAACACATTACATGGTCCGGCATACCTCTGCACTTCATCTGTGAAGCTCAGTTGTGTTGGTGTCCTATGCAGCACTCCTCTCAGATAGGCAAACAGGACAGTTGTTCCTCACTGTCGAGATAGACAGGCACTCGGGAAGAGGTTAGCTTATGAGACCACTTAGAGGGCTTCCCGTTGAGTACACCCTATGGGCAAACCATCGAGCAAAAACAGTTATTTTGAGGAAATTGATACATTTAAGATAAAGATACAATAATTTGCAGCATAGTTAAAAGATATTGTTAATGTTATTCCTAATTAAGACCTTTAATATGAGTTTGTTTGTAATGATGATTAAATGTGAACACTGTTTAAGTACCACTAAATGCTCCTCAGATGTATGTAACTTTACAATGAAGTCCAGCAGTCTCTTTACCTCTGCAGTGTGGTTATCGACAGCCTGAATGTGGATTTTCTCTGAGATAGCACTCTGTACACTGGCTGAAGAGTTCCTTGGAGCAGGTTTCTGGATCAGTCCAGAAGGCAAACTGCTGACCATGCCTTTCAAGCATCAACCAGATTAATCTAAAGTACTGCCAAAAGGACAGGCTAATAACCAGTGTTGGGGAGTAACTAGTTACATGTATCGTAATAATCAATAAAACTAGCAATCGGGAATTCATTATTATTTCTTAGCAGTTCTCATGTTGGCTATGTAAACTTTGCATCGTTTTAAGGTTATAAAAGAAAACTTAATTGAAAATCGGTAAAGTTACTCACTCTGATTGCTGTCCGATCTTCTCGTTCGTGAACGAAATGACCAAACTGGTACATGTCGTTCATGAACGAGTTGAATGAACTGGAACAAGTCGTTCGTGAACGAGTTGAATTAACTGGTACATCTCGTTCATGAATGAAATGACTGAACTGGTACATATCTCGTTCGTGAACGAAATGAATGAGAGTGTACCGGGTCAGTCAGCCATTTAGCATGTGAATCAATCTCGATCAGCAATCAGCAGAAAGCAGATGCAAAGCGCAGTTATAGGTACTGTGCACATAAGCTAAACCCCAATTTATGAATGTGTAAATGTCTGACCAAACAATTAAAATGTCAATTATGCAAGAAAACCTTGTGCTTTGGTCATCTGAGCAACTTATTTAGACCTTATTTATTTAATGAGTAGATTATGCACACATTTTAATAAAGCCAAATCAGTTTTTTGTAACACGTAAATACGTTAGTTGACTTAAGACAAAACATATAAGACACTATTTTTCGCCCCCTGCTGGCGTATTTATGTAATATGAAGACATGGTCACTGAACGAATCAGTGAACAAATCTGAACGAGTCATTTTGGTGAACGAACTGAAAATTAACGAATCTCTTGAAAGAATAAACATTTCCACCACTAGTAACAGCAAAGCCCGCTCTGACTTACGCGTTCTTTACAAATTCAAATGTTACTGATTCAAACAGCAGGTTTTAAGGCAGGATAATCGAACGCTCATTGGCTCTCGCCTGCATTCGTCACAGATTGCGACAATGCCGTGTTTCTGATGAGGTGTGTTTGAATGATGCGCGCGCGCCTTCACGGAGTGGAACGGGAAAATAATCTGGATACTATTTTCAGCGATTAACAATGTAAATTCTGCTCTGCACCTCACACAAACCTACTGTATTCCGCCAGAGAGGACTGCGACTGCAACGCATCATCATTTGGATTACTTATACTGCTTTTGTCATTTTTGCAATAGATAAATGATTGTAATTGCATTTATCTGTCTGTCATGTTTTTCTTTATACTGTACATAAATAGTTATGTTTAGGTTTACAGGTAGTGGGATTAGCGACTATAAAAATATTTTTGAATGCTGTATTGTTACTAAATATTTTGGTCAATTGTGTTTAATATCCTTTTATATTCGATATAAAATGGGTGGTTAAGGTTTGGAGGTAGGTTAAGGGGTCTACAAATCCAAATTGCTTATTGATAAAATGATAAAAATGCATATTTGCTATAAAATGGGTAGGTTTAGGTTTGGGGGTATAGGTTAAGGGGTCTAAAAATCCAAATTGCTCATTGATGATAAAAAATACACAAAATAATGTTCTTTTTAGCAGCATCATATGACCCCTTTAAGGTTTGGAGGTAGGTTAAGGGGTCTACAAATCCAAATTGCTTATTGATAAAATGATAAAAATGCATATTCGCTATAAAATGGGTAGGTTTAGGTTTGGGGGTATAGGTTAAGGGGTCTAAAAATCCAAATTGCTCATTGATGATAAAAATGCATCGATACGAATATCTTAATGATATAAAATATACATAAATATAGTTTTTTTTAGCTAAAATAGCGATTTGTACATTTTAAACGTTGAAATATGTCTAAATTGTAAGTTTTAGCATCAATAAAAACTTACAAAATGTATGTTTTGTGCTTGTAAATGTTACGTATTAATATCTTCGTATAAACAATGAGACCAGGCTGGATTTTCTTAAATGTGATGTGATTCATGTCCTGCCTGGATTTGTAAATAGCCTGGGTTTTAGATTTGGGGTGCTTTTATGCCGCATTCCAGAAGAGATTGGAAGTGGGAATATCTGAGTTGAAATGTCCGACTTCAAACCTCAATGAGTTCAAGTCAACCATACGTCATGTTAACATATTGACCTCAGAATTTCGCCATTACACAATAAGAGCAAAAATGCGATTTTATCAGGTTTTTGCTCAAAATGTTGCTTTTTTTGTGAAACCTACATTTAAGTCTTGATAAAAAAAAATAAAAAAAACTATGCTTGAAGCTAGAATAAAACTGATTTTTCTTTTTTTTTCTTTTTTTTCTTCCAGAAGAGATTGGAAGTGGGAATATCTGAGTTGAAATGTCCGACTTCAAACCTCAATGAGTTCAAGTCAACCATACGTCATGTTAACATATTGACCTCATAATTTCGCCATTACACAATAAGAGCAAAAATGCGATTTTATCAGGTTTTTGCTCAAAATGTTGCTTTTTTTGTGAAACCTACATTTAAGTGTTGATAAATAAAAAAAAAAAAAACTATGCTTGAAGCTAGAATAAAACTGATTTTTCTTTTTTTTTCTTTTTTTTGTTTGAAAGTAGAGGGTCTGATCTTTATTTTGATGTATTGTATGTTCAGATATTCATATACAACAAAATATTCTGGGGACCATGACATTTTAGTGAAAATCAGCAAAAACGCTGGGGGTGGCTGGCAACTTTTTTCAAAAATGCTGGCGGGGAAAGAGTTAAGTTTTACATGAGGTATGCTCATTGGAAGCATTGACATCAAATGACACGTCTCGCTGAAGTCGGATCTGCCCCAAGTTCACAGGTCGGATGTCCGACTTCAAGCAGCATTCTAGATGTTATTTCCAAGTAGGAGGTGGGAAAAATCCAAATTTCGAGTTGTCTGGAACATAGCATTAGACTTAACACTTGGACTCAGACAGACTCGGGTGGACCTGGACTCCGACATTTTTCTATGCAGACATTTTTAACACAGAGAAATCCTTGTCATGTGTATTGTGAAACATGAAAATAAGTAACAACATAAAATTACAATAAAAAGACATTAATAAATGTCTACCACCCAACTCAACTTAATTGGTTAAAAAGTAGGACTCAACTCAGACTCCACAAGGTGGACTCGGACCCAAAACTACAGGGTTTTGATTTTGTTTCCCTATTGTTTTCATACTTACATTTACATTTAGTCATTTAGCAGATGCGTTTATCCAAAGCGACTTACAAATGAGAACAATAGAAGCAATCAAAATCAACAAAAGAGCAATGGTATGCAAATGCTATAACACGTCTCAGTTAGCTTAACTTAGTACACGTAGCAAGGTTTTTTTTTTTTTATTATATAATAAAAAAGAAAACAGAATAGAAAAAGAATAGAGCAAGCTAGTGTTAGAGGCCTTTTTTTTTTGCTTTTGTTAATGGTATAGTAAATAAAAAGAAAACAAATAGATAGAATACAAAAAGATTAGATAAGCTAGTGTTAGTTTTTTTCGTTTTCTTTAACAAGCAGTTAGTAAATTAATAGAGTACAAGACTAAAAGGGGCAAGTTTTTTTTTTTTTTTTTTAAGAATATAATTAGAATAGAGAGTGCTTAGAGTTAGAGGGTCAAATAAGGGGTCAAATATTTTGTTCATACTTGCTAAAGGTAATGACTGAAAAGTCAATAGTAAAACAAAGCCAAAACCCAGAAATTGTAGGCAATTTAGAAATCACGGCCAGGACATGTCTGGAAAAAAAATAAGCCATAGGGTCACCCTAGGTATGTGTCAGCCAATCAGATTTGAACTGGCAATATCATTCAGCATTTTTGTGTGCAAACTATTTCTGCCTAACTTCAGAAAACTGGATTAAAAGTTCATCCTTCTCAGCAGTAGTGATCTGCATACATTTTGCATTTCCAGAATTCTTTTATCCATATGATTTTTCTCTTCCAAACTCAAGGTGTGAGGCGTTTTTTTTTTTTTTTTTTGCGAAAATAATAGGCCTACTCCCAGTGTCGGCACCTTCAGAATTTATGCAAACACATTTTATTTTAATGCCTGAAAGAGCGTTTAATCTCCAAAATCCTCTTCTTTAATCTGGAAGGAAGCATGTTACCACAGGCTGAAGGATTCTGTCACAGTTATTTGACTTATGATCAGACACATAAGGATACTCTGTCTGCAAAACATCTGAATAATGCATGACCAGGACCTTCTTAAATACAGTCAATATTTTATGTTTAGATCTCATCCTGTTTTGGACCGGCTGACATTCCTCAGAAGGGGACAACAAAGGGGATGTTCAAATGACAAAAAGGGGTCTGTGGAGTTTCATGAAAATATAATCCCTCTTCAAGAGCACTCAAGAAAAACTAACCTTCTCCCCCCATCATGTTCACATGACATTGTATGCTGCAGGACTACAGCGTACACAAGAGGAGATGATTGTTGCCTAATGGATTCACTAAAGTTACAGGCAACATTGTTTCTGTCAGCTGAGTTTATAATAAAAACTAAAGAGGCATTTAAGATGTAATGAATGAAAACATATTTGGCAGCCCTCCTTGGAGATTCCTCCTCTTCAACTTTAACCTCACAAAAAGTATCCGGTCTAAATGTTCACTCGCTCGCATGGGCCGCGTTCATGCCTCACCGCTGAGTTATTTAAGGGCCTCTTTCAACTCACGCTGAGTTAATGTATACGTTTCACAGCACGTCTATTTCGATAGCCTTGATGACGTTAGCTTGGGGAGGGGTTGCATTTTCTTGCAATGGGTTCTGTTTCCCCAAACCTCATTTGCATTAGATGTTCTGCAGATAGATATTATTGTATTTGGTTTGGGAACACCATGGATATGTTTTATGTATCCCGACCCACAAAGGTATCTGTTCACATTTAACTTTTGGGTCTGAATGCCCATGCAGGATTTTAATTTACTTAAATAATAATTTATGAAGGATCATGTGACATTGAAGACTGGAG